ACAACATCTTTGTTGGTATGTGGTGCTGAGGATCGAACCCGGGCCGCACGCATGCCAGGCGAGCGCGCTACCACCTGAGCCACATTCCCAGCCCTCATTTTCATTTTCTATCCCAGACAAAGGAACCCGACCCTGGAGATTTGGGGAAGGTCACCCAGAGGTGCATCTGGACATCTAGAAGTAGAACCTACAGGCACAAAGGACTTTTCTCATGCTTTTACCCTGTGATGCGTGTGTGCCCTGGCTCAGGAGAGCCACGTGATAGTAGGCAGGCTGATCCATATACGGGTGCTTAGAGAAACTAGAACAAGAAAAGTAGCTTGGGTTGGGGATGTGGCTCAGTAGTAGAGTACTTGCTTAGCATGTGAGGTCCTGCATTGATCCTCAGTACCGCATATATAAATAGATAAAATAAAGGTTCATCCACAACTAAATCTCTCTCTCTCTCTCTCTCTCTCTCTATATATATATATAGTAGTATATATATATATATATAGTAGCTTACCATTTGTCTCTACTTGTTAAAGAAGCATCAAGTCAATCCACAGTGGTGAAATTCCAGCTCATATTTGCCTAATTAGTTTACTGATCAGAATTCTTAATAATTGGATGGGAGTGCTTGGGAAAAGAATGTACAGGGATTGGTGAGACCCAACACAGGAAAATCACAGTGGACATATCTCAGAACGATAACAGCTGTCAAGTGTTTGGAGTCAATAAGAATGAAGCAGATCAATGGCCATGGTTGTGCATGGATGCTGTTGGCTAGGTGACCCACATGTGATGTACCCTGGAGACAGATGTGGAGTGAGAGGTGGCAGGAGCTGTTCTGCTGGATGGGCAGTGCATGGAAAGGGGTGGGTGCCTCTTGATGTTGTATTCTGGGACTTAAGGTTCTCCTCCCTCCCCTTCCTCTGAACAGGTGCAGTGCCATACCTACACAGGGTACTGTTGGTGTGTCACCCCGGATGGGAAGCCCATCAGTGGCTCTTCTGTGCAGAATAAAACTCCTGTATGTTCAGGTATCGTAGGGAGGAGCGGGAAGAATGAAAAGAGTTGGAAAAAAAAACCCCTTGATTGGTCTCCTGCGTCTCATTGGGGATTGTTAAAAGGTTGGTGGTGACTACAAGCCCTGTTTCAGGTCAGGAAAGATCCCCCTCTAACAGCTTCCTCAGTAATTAGCTGGATAATGAGTGCCAGGGTATATATGTTTATTTATTCTGATTTTAGATTTCTGTTTTTTTTTTTTTTCTTGGTGCTTTTTTCCTAAGCATTGGTGGAAACCCTTAGAGCTGAGGTGGCATATATGCTTTTACCTTTTGTGCTGACTGACTGATTGCTAGTGGTCCTTGCAGTGCATTATTAACATGCATTTTGAGACCGCATGAGTTCAGCATCAAAGGCTACAGTGATCAATTAGTGATGCCCATCACAGGTGTGGGAGAGGAGAGTGATGGCCTCTGTGCCATAGATTTGCCACACTTGAGCAAAGTAACTTACCATAAGGGAAAACTTTCATGACAGTGGCCTTTAAATCTGACTGATCATCAGCAGCACCTGGGGAATTAAGAAAGAAGCCAGATGTCAATGCTTCTTGTATATTCTGATCCAATAGGACTGGAGTGAGACCCGAAGTCCTTATTTTTATGAATCTTCCCAGGTGGTTCTGCTGAGTAGTTAAGTTAGGCAACTGGTGTTTGATTGGGAATTCTTGAGTTAGTCCATAGGAAAAATTAAGTCCTTTCTATTTCGACGTTATTTTGCTACTGGGTCAGATTCATTGGGATTGTGGATTCTGGATGTATGTAAACCCCACACCTTCTGCCTCCTCTTAGTGATGAGGACTCACGAGCTCCTCCCTTGAATTCCCTGTGTGGCCAATCTCCATTCAAAAGGGCCTCTCACCATTTCCCCATATCTGTGTACATAGGGTTTTATTTATTCACTTATTTTAAATTTTAAATGTCAATAAAATATAAAACACTTGCTAAAAACCTATTTGAAATTCCAAAGACTACCAGTCCTAGTAACTTCTTACAAAATTTACTCACTTTTTTCTTTCTACTAGCCCTTCCATATAAAAGAGAAAAGTTAAGTGGATAGGACAGTAAGAATGTATATTAGAAAACCCAAATTTGCAGGCCAAAAGGGAAGTTTACTTTATTTGTGGTTTACATGGAAACTGGAAACCTTAATTGGGGCTGGGGTGGAGGGGGGCAGGAATTAGCTCTCCTTGCACATGACCTGGAGAGTTTCATGTAAGGCAAACAAATGTACTAGAAAGTAGCCATGGAGGATAATATAATGGAATTCTCACAAAACTAGGATATGGAGAAGGAAGGGATACGACAAAAATTAGGAAAATATGGATCCTCTTTCCTTTTGTTGGTGGGGTCTCTGCAGAGGTCGTCTCGTGGATATGTGGTCATACCCTGCTTGTGTGGGGGTGGGCTTCACGGAGAAGGCAGGTGCCACAGGGTCAGGTCTGGAGGATGGGTGCATATGGTGCTCCAGTATATGCAGGGGAAACGCACATGCTACCCCCACCCTGAAGAACAGGCTGTGTCTAGAAAATTGTTTCCATGCCTCAGACTATTTTGGCCCATTCAGTACAATTGGGCCGACAATTTTCTACTTAATGCAGATGGAAAATCACTGATTTCCTGCCCTAACCAGCAAGGGATGTCAATCATTGCATTTGTAGTAAGAGGGGTTTTTCTTTTCAGTTGGCCCTGCCGACTGGATATAGCTCAGAACAGGGAGCTGGTGAGAAGTGGGGGACATGTGGATGTGGAGGGGTAGGTTTTGAAATGTTCGACAGGGGAATTATATGCAAGTGGACTTTTTAAAGAACCTGGTCAAGACCACTGCCAGGGAACCTGGAAATTATAGTTTGTCTCAAAACAGTGCTAGGTTATCAGTGACATTGATGTTAAACAAACCCTGCTCGACATGTATGTACATACTCACTTTGTATATAATATCCCCCGGTGTGTATACAATACGTATATACATGGCCATATGCTCATAATGTCAGGCTTTACCAACCCTTTGAAAGAAACCAACCGCCGCACGCTCTGAATGGCTATTTTTGTTTCTCCTCTCCCCCAAGGTTCAGTCACCGACAAGCCCTTGAGCCAGGGTAACTCGGGAAGGAGAGGTGAGTAGAGTTTGATGCTTTACCTAAATGTTTGCTTCTAAAGCCAGTCCGAGCAGAAGTTCTTAGACAAGATAGAAGGAGCCTGGAGTGAAAGCTAAAAGTGTCCCCCAGAAAGCCTTCTCCATTCTCATTCTGTTTCCTCCCCGTTCTGGTGGTAAGTAAGGCTCGAGTGGTGGTGGTGATTCATCTCCCAGAATTTCTGAGGGGGACAAGCAAGTGTAGCATGCAGAACTGCAGGGATCTGGATGTGAGCCCTGAGCTCCTGGGCTCCCTGGGAGTTCAGCTGGTCAACCTCCGATGTAGCCAGCATTCAACCAAAGTGGACAGTGAAGATAGAGTGCTCGTGTCTGCCCTCAGCTCTCTTTTGAATAACCCACTTGAGTAACCCCGCCCCCCCCCCAATTCTCCTTACCCCTGTGTTCCAGTGCATCCCGCTTCTCTTCATTAACACTGGGCTGGCTCCATGGTTGTGTGGCCTGTGCACTTGTTTTCCTGTAATTCTGAGTAGTTCTGTCTTGAATCTGAGGGGACAGTGAGCAGGGAGATACCTGTAATATGAGTATCTGATGCCAGATGTTGTCACCCCAGAAGCATGTAGCTTTTGTGATGTGTGCTTCGATGACTTCTTTTCTTTCTTTTCCTTTTTCTTTTTCTTTTCTTTTTTTTGGAACCAGGGATTGAACCCAGGGGAGCTTTGTCACTGAGCCACATCCCCAGACCTTTCTATTTTTTATTTTGAGACAGGGTCTCAGTAAGTTGCCAAGGGCCTCACTGAATTCCCCAGGCTGGCTTTGAACTTGCGCTCCTCCTATCTCAGCCTCCTGAGGTACTTGGATTACAGGAATGTGCCATTGGGGCTGGCTGTGCTATGTGGCTCCCATAGCAAGCTTAAGGCTTTAATTTTTGTTTACCTGGAACAACACTAAACAGCAGATGAGAGATCACCATGATCTCTCAAGAGGAGAGACTATGGAAAACAGGGAAAAGCTTTATATTTTAGTGACTTTAATGTCAGTTTTTCCTGGTTTTGTTTTTGTTGATGTTATTTGTTTTAATTTTTACAAAGGGTCCTACATATTCATTTCTTCCTGGGTCCCTGAAGTAAGATGGCTGGCATTTGTCTGAATGCTGTTTAGTGGATTAGTCTGCATGAGGATTAGGTATATGTTGGCCATGATTTTCAGTGTGGGAGATAGTTCGAGGCCTATATTTTATTGCCACTGGTTTCTAGGATGGCATTCACAGAGAGCAGGTAGCAGCCTGGAAAGCAGATCTCCATTTCGTTTTGTGTATAAGCACTGCAGAGCTCCTACCTCTGCTGAATTTGAGGCTTCCACCTTCACCTAGGCCTTGAGAGCCCTTGTAGAGTTGGAACTGCTGAGTCAGCACGAAGTGCACAGGCTTATCCTACACACATGGCCCTGGGGATGGAAGAAGAGGCAGAGCACCCACTCTGAATGCAGGAGACAACAGTCCAAAGAACCTGCTGCCCGAAACACAGGCGCTCCAAGCCATGGAAGTGGAATACAGTGGCCCAGTAGAACACGGTGACCTACTAGGAAATGTACGCCCATGGCCCAGATGCGCTGCTCCTCTTCCTGCTGGGCAGGAATGAGTGAGTGGGTGAAAAGAAGGGAGCAAGTGTCTTTCCAGGTTCTTCTCAGACAAGGGGAGATAGCCATGAGTGCTGGTGGTTCCCTCCCAGGTAAGGGAAGGTGGGAAGAAGGGCAGGAAGTCTCTTTTTCCAAATCTGCAAAGATCTGAAATCACTAGTGCTGTCAATGACCTGTGTCTACAGGGGGTAGAAATGGGAGCTGCCTTCTGTTTTGCTTTTTGCCACTGAAATCTTCAGGAACATCACCTGTGTCTCTGGGCGTGAGGTCCTAGTAGTAGGGGAAATGGGTAACCATGCAAAACTGACCTCTTGGATTTTCCCTTCCAAAGGGAGTGAGTGAAATGTGAGATGCTGAATGAAGCCCAAGTACCAGGAAAGGTCATCTGGGCCATCTGGTTCTTAAACCAGACAGAGAAGTGCTTTCCAGGTTGATGTGGCTTTGTGCCCTGTGGGTAACAGTGAGACAGAACCATGGTTATCCTGGACCTCACTTAGCCAGCTGGAAGAGGGCAGGTAGGTTGAGGAGTACATTTACAGCAATTTACAGTGAGCATGGGCCAAAGGAGGCCAGACGAGCCTGATTCTCCAGGGAGGTGGAGGAAATAGGGTAGAATCTGCAGCCTCCTCTTGGAGAGAACAAGTGCTGTTGGCTTCCAGCTCTTTGCTCCCCTGTCCTGGATGGGGTCCTTCCACCTAGGTGGTTCTGCAGACGCTTCTTCCTTGGAGCAAAAGTGAGGATAAGGCCCTGGCAGGAGATGCTAGGGCTCACTCTCTCCTGGAAACTTGATTTTTGCCCAGTGATCTCTCTTTCCATCTATTTGGAGAATCTAATTAGGCACCAAGTCTTCTTTTGTTTGTCTTCCATGGGCAGTGCTATGAAGAGCAGGTTTGGGCCACCTGTAGGAAGGGCCACCTGAAGCCACACCTGTCCAGGAAGCCTAAGTTTGAATGAGGACAGGGTATGAGAGGGCATTCGTAATATCCTGTATTGACCTGCCAAGGTTCCTCTTTCAGAGGCCACTTAAGAATGGAATGTGCTCTGTAGGGCAGCAGGTGGGAAGACACAAAGGCCCCTTGTCTGAGCTTGTGCCCACACGTGGCTTCCCCAAGGAGGCATCTCCCTAGAGCTGGAGCTCGCCGTCCTGAGGCTGCAATTTAAATGATGCTGGCCTGGGGACCCTTGAGCAGGAGGGGGGATACGGTCAGAAAGGAGGTGAGGCATGAGGTCTGCAGGTGTGAGGGGTGAGGGGCTGCAGGGTGAGGACGGGACCCATGCTTCTCTCTCCCTCCCCTCTTGGCCTTTTGAATCTGCCCCACTGACGGGGTTGGGAGGGATCGGTTCTCTCTGCCTGGAAGGAATGAAAAGATGTATTGTGTGACCACGTAGCGTCTGGTTGCCAGCCAGGAATTAGTCCTGTGAAGGAGAGGAGGAGAAAGGCAAGGAGCCGGGGGAGGAGGCCCAGAGAGATAGCAGGAGGAAAGGAGGAGGGCAGCCTTCGGTAGCAGGTCACGGAGTTTGGCCTCAGGCTGGGAGGCCTGGGTTGCTGTGGTCCACAGGTGTGGGGCCCCAGGGAAGACGTGGGGGAAGAAGGGGGGCCCTGTTATCTTCCGCAGCCAGATGCACGTGCTTCAGGAGGGGAGGAGGGTCACAACTTCAGACTATTTACTTAATCCCTTGGAATGTCCCTTCCTCGCTCTGTTCTTTGGGCCCCTGTGTTTAACGGACTCCTTTACAGGCACATGTGTGGTAATTAACACGTGCAGGGTAGGTCCTGGGCCATGTGTTTGAGTTTCAAATATCCATTGATCTGGGGCAATCTCATCCTGGCCGCCCCCCTCCCCTTCTTCTCTAGTCCTAGCCCTTGGAGGGGGGCGCGGGTGCACACATGCACGCACATGTGTTTCATGATGTGACAGAGAAGTATCTGAAGAGAGGGAGAAGACCCCACACAGCCCCTTTAATTCTGGAAATCTGCTGTTAAAACAGATGAGAGAGAGAGAAAGCTGGATTTGGGGTTTTCACTGAAGTAGTTGAAGGAGATCGGCTGGAAGCAGACAGTTCTGAGGTCATCGCTTGCCCACCTTGGCTCTACCTGGCTGTGCCAAGGCCTGTGGATTTTCCTCAAGTGTGTCTTTCTTGGGGTCTTGATGCCAACGACTAGGGGGTGACCTTCCAGGATAACACCAGGACCTGGGCCTGGTCTTCACATCTCGTGAGGGGCCAGGAGAGAAGTCCTCAGCCTCCAAGGGAGGGTTTGATGGGTGGTGAAGAATGACAGAAGGGACCACATGGCCGTGCACTTGTCAGATGCTTGCTGGCAGTTCTCAGGAAGCTGTTTCCTCTGAGTGCCCAGAAATACAGAGGGCCTGGGGCTGACGCTGTGATAAATTGCAAGTGAAAGTTTAGGGTCATCCGGCGTTTTCTGTCATTTGTTTATTTTCCTCTAAGAGGTCTGGGAGTCTGTTGTTTAAGTGAGAGAAAAAATAAAAATAAAATAAAATAAAAACATTAACAAACTCTGCTCAGATTTTGCTGCATGGGCTTCTGTATTTGTCAAGACAGTCTCAGAGAAGGGCAGAACTTCCAAAATCCAACCCATCTTTAATGTGCAGAGACTTCTCTTTTTTTTATGCCCCCGCCCCACACACACATGCATATACACTGGTTGCTCCATAGTATGTGCTTCAAGTAAGGAGTGAGTCACATTTCTTCCCCAAGGTCTCTGCCTGTCTCTGTTTTTAGAGTCTGGTCTACAGATTGGTGCCAACTTGGAGACCTTGTCCCTCAGGTGATGGATCAGGTAGCACTGAGGGGTGCCATTAGGGCAGGGGTGATGGATGGCAGGCATCTCTTCACCCTCATGAAGAAGTTGTTCTTCAGTGCCCCAGGCCTGGCTAATCTGTGCCAGGCTGGCTATCGAGGAATGTTCCACACAGGGAATATCACTGTCCACGTGACTTAACCTCTTCCCAGCTATCTCTTTTTCTCTCTTTCCCTAGCACAAGGGGAGGCTGGATCAGAAGCTGATGAGCTGCCAGCCTGGGCTGGATTCTAGTGGAGATGGGCATCTGCTGGGCTCTGCTCACTTTACCTATGGGAGAAGCATTTGCTCTGACGTTGTGCCTAAGCAGCCCCAAGCCCACAGGCGGCAGCTCTTGGGCTCTCTGTGCATATGTTGCTGGTTCTTTCTCATGCTCCAAACCTCAACCAAGCCTGGCATATCTGTGTTTCAGCTTTGCCCTTGCAGTGTCAAAAGGGGCGTGTGTGCGTGTGTGAGTGTGTGACGGCTCCCTTCTTCCCACGGTTAACTGCTCCTCCTGCTTGGCTCCCTCCCCAGTCCCTGCTCCTCACCTTGGCCCTTATTACCAGGGCTCCGAAGCAAAG